TTTTTTTTTTTTTTTTTTTTGGACATTAAGGTAGGTCTTTTTTTCACTTTCAAGGGGTTTTTTTCAATTTGAAGCTGTGGCAGAGAGTTATTAGAATAGTGACTTACAATTTTGATATTTCAATTAAGCAAAAAGGACTATGGATGGCAGTTGTCGATATTATGTAAAACGAGACAGCTGTGAATAAGCGGTGAATAGTTGGGCAAGAAAGAATTAGTTGTCCAGTACTTTTCAAACTTTTTTGTTTTTATTTTTTCTTACTATATTATTTTGAATAGGGGAAGTCAGGAGTGGGGGAGGAATTTACTTTTGTTTTTGGTTGCTAGCAATGCTCTTTAGTTTTTTGTTTTGGCTGGTGCATTTAAAGAAACTTAGTTAAGGAACGTCGATGATTATTTAAATTTTTTCTTGTCAAATTATCTTCAACTGTTGCTTTCTGCTGTCACATAATCTTGGTAATTTGTTTTTTCCTGACTAGTGCATTTTCATCATTGTTGGTACTTCCCTTCTTTTTGCCTCTTACTCGTAAATGTATACATTTGCAATGGATTCAAAAAATTTTTTCATCACCTCTACATTGTCTTACACACTTGGTAAAGTTTTATATCTTAAAAGCATGCATGTCAGAAGAAGTGCATTGGTAAATCATAATTTGGTGGTGGCTGAAATTGTTGCTTATCAAACAGTTACCGCTGTTAGTTTTTCGGTTTTTTTAAACTGAAATTGGGACGACTCAAAATGTATATTAGTGACTGAAGGTGAAAACCACTTATGACTGCTTTTGCTAGCGAATTTTTTCTGTTTATATATGCTTTTTTTTTGGAGTATCTAAACCGTAAGAAGATTGAGAAGAAACTTGGATTTTGGCAACAGTTTTTTTAAGGGGTATCATGAAGGGAGTTTGATGGATCGGTTTGTTGAAAGAACGGAGAAGTGAGAAAATACTGTCATTATTTGCTTGCTTTGACAACGGTAATTTTTTTAGTCTTCAAAAATGTTGTATTTGTTGTTTTTATTTTGTGGCTTTGATCAAGGATTTTGGCGATTTTTGACTTGATTGGG